CCCCCAAGTCCCTCTCGGCAGGGCTGTTCTTGATCCTTTCTTCCCCCAGCCTGTATTGATACCGAGGGTTACCCCGACCCAGGTGCAGGACCTTGCACTTGGCCTTGTTGAACCTCATGAGGTTCACACAGGCCCACCTCTCCAGCCTATCCAGGTCTCTCTGAATGACATCCCGTCCTTCTGGTGTGTCAACCCGCACCACTCAGCTTGGGGTCATCCGCAAACTTGCTGAGGGTGCACTCGATCTCGCTGTCTAAGTCATTGAAGAAAACATTAAACAGCACCGGTCCCCGTACGGACCCCTGAGGGACACCACTCATTACCGGTCTCCATCTGGACATCGAGCCATTGACCACTACCCTCTGGATGCTACCATCCAGCCAGTTCCTTATCCACCCATCAAATCCATAGCTCTCCAATTTAGAGAGAAGGATGTTGTGGGGGACCGTGTCAAAGGCTTTGCAGAAGTCCAAATAGATGACGTCCATGGTGGTGGACAGGTACTGTCAGACTCAATGTTCTTAAAGGGTTTTTTTCCAATCAAATGATTCTATGATGCTATAATCCTATTTACCTGCAAAACTTTTGCTGCTTTGTGAAAATTTGTTTTACGCAATTTTGCAGTTGGGCAGTTTGCTTTCACTCCCCAATGTTGCACATAATGCATATTCTTAATGTTTTGCAACTTTCTGAAACTAAGACATTTTGCCTTTCTCAGTTATAGGTCAGAAGTAAAAGCCAGACAGGATGTGAAACCTGATATCCGGCAACCTCCATTTACAGACTACAGGCAGTCCTCAACGGACTACCGACAGCCTCCGCTGGACTACAGGCATCCGCCGGTGATGGATTACCAGCAGCCACCACCTCTCGACTACAGGCAGCCGCCCTTGATAGATTACAGGCAGCACTCACCCGACACCAGGCAGTACCCTCTGTCAGAGTACAGGCAGCCCCAGGTACAAACTGAAATACGGCACTCCTAAAGAGAAAGCATTAGGTCATGTACATTGGTAAAAAAGGTGACATTATAGAAGCAAAAGGCACCTTGATTGTTTTTACTCTGAGTTACGATTTCTCCGTAGAGGAAATTACTCCAAAAGCATTAATATTAATGAAGAACTATGTGATCTGTCAAATAACACTACATTTATAATTGTGTGACTATAATGTTAAATAAATGTTATTTTTAAGGTACTGGAGAGTTAAAATAAACGTTCTAAAATAAGCTTCCTTTGCATCAGCAGAGGAATTTTTTTTGTTCCTAGGAACATAATACAGAGTTCAAACAGTGGATGTACTTCATTCTGACTGCATTTCTACAGCACTGCTGAAAACAAAGATTTTATCTAATCTGAATAAATAAATAAATAAATAGATGGGAATCCTGACTGATAAAATTACATGTATGTTGGTAATGGGGAGAAACTACTTGTGCAGCTAGTTTCTTTGACATCAGGCATGATCTTACAAATTCGAAGAAATAAACCTTAGATGAAGAGTTATGTTACCCTGGACAAGACACTGCTGATGCCAAATATTTATACTGACGGCTGTGAAGGTTTGAGGATTTAGCCCAAAGTTCAGACTTTCAAAAAAATCCTCCTTTCTCCTTATATAAAGTCAGAAAAAAAACAGAGGTCAGGAAATATAAATAAGAGAATGTAAACTTCTAGACACTATATGCCAGAACCATATATAGGTGGTTTCTATGTCCATATTTTCAAAGCCAGACACATAAACTATATCAATGAAAATATCCAAATTCTTAAATGGGATCCAGAGAACCCTGAAAATTTTATGCATTTCAGTATCTAAATAGCAAATCCATTTCCCCTGCACATATCTTATAAGAGGCTTCTTAGCATCTAGAGAGATGCTTAGACTGCCTGTTTCTCACTGTCTCCAGTTAATTCTCTAAGCACTGGTTTGCACAACTCAAAATTTCTTTTTTTCCTCTGCTCCCATGGCTCTTGCAATCTTGGCTGCCAATGGATCAGAAGCAACAAAGCAGCCCCCTCTATGGGGCTGGTAGTTAGGGTCCACCAAGGCAAAACTGGAAAGATGAATCTCGGTCTCTGCAGGACACAGAAAGGGGAAGGTCAAAGCTCCTACTTCCCACCTCCTCCTCAAGGCACATGCTTTAACCAAAGTGATGAGAGTTACTGTACTTTGTGACTCCATGCAGTCCAGCCTGCTGATCCTGTTGAGTTCTGCTAGGAATTTAGGAGGTGTCACTCCTACTAATTTTCAGTTGTGATGATGCTTATACAGGAACTATCTGCTTCCTCACTTGCCAAATCAGCACTTCCTGCATAGACATTTATACTCAGGTACCATGGAAGTATTGAGGGTGAATATGGAAACCATCTAGAGAGCTTTTGGTACCAGGCAGCTGCTGGATGATGACTTTTCAGGGTGGTTTAGACTTAGACATTTACATTTTGCTAAAGTGTCTTCAGAAAAGACCAAAGTCTGTCAGTACAGAAGTATGCTTTGAAGGTCCCTTTGCTTATATAAGTTGGATAGATGCACTTTTGAAGAGATGTATTTTAAAGTTTTCTTGAATGTATACCATGACGCTCATATAGTTAATTTTCTTTCATTTTGTATTTGTCTATACAGGACTTCGATTATTTCACCGTTGATTTGGAGAAAGGAGCCAAAGGGTTTGGGTTTAGTATTCGAGGAGGAAGGGAGTACAAAATGGATTTGTATGTGTTGAGGTTAGCAGAAGATGGACCAGCAATAAGAAATGGAAGGATGAGGGTAAGTAAAATGTATTATAACAATTTTTTCAGCCTTTACAGATATGTTTGCTGATAGGGTCAATGAGAAAGCAGGTTTTTCATCTCTGATCAGGTTTTAAAGAATACCAATGCCAAAAAAATCAATATAATTTTTTGTCCTGGAAGAGCTGAAGAAGTTACTTGAAACATATAGTTGGTCTGTGCAGTTTCTTTGTGGAATAAATGTATTGCTTGATGTTGATAGAAGCTTTTACTGTGTTATATGTTTTTTCTCCTTATTCTTTCATTCATATCTAAGCAACTTAAAAATCTCTGACAAAAAGTTTGATATTTCTTTGATAATAATATCAGCATAATTAACATAATTGATAATAATACCAGCATAATTAACAGTTATCTCTCTAACCACAAAAGCAAAGTGATAGCTACGAAACCTAAGACCTGGTCTGTGTTATTTTACTGATTTAATCAAGTTGTCTTCATAGTATTTGCTAAGTTTGCTTATCAATATTATTCAATCTTGTTTGTAGGGATCGGTTGTCACTATTTGTCTGAATAGGTCTTAGTGCATCCGAGCCCAGTATTGATAGAAACGGTAGTAACACCACATCCAAATACTGAATCTAAAAGCACACACTTAAGAAATTCCATGATTAAAAAAATACATGTTCTGTGTAAGGAAAAATAACCTAATAAAAATAGATGGGTTTAATCGGTCTTAATATGCCATCAGAGACTATCTGTAAATAACTCAGGAGTTTTAGGATGCTTCGTATTACTCTTAATTTGCCCACTTTGTAGAATTTTAGAAGTCATTTAGTCATACCATGGAGTGCACAGTATTGGCACTGGGAGCTTGCATAAGTGAGCAATGGCATAAGAAGTCCCAGTTATGAGGAAGCCAGGCAGGCAACTGGTAACTGAGGAATACTCCCACAGTATTTGTTATGTGAAATATAGGTGAATTAACGCAGCATCTAGAACTTTAACTGAAGAATATCTTCTCCGGTGAGTGTGTTCATCCTTTCCTTTACTGTAGCACTATCACAGTCAGTTGTTCTTAATGACAAGGGGTAATGGTTTTAAACTAAACCAGGGTAGGTTTAGACTAGATATAAGGAAGAAATTCTTTACAATGAGGGTGGTGAAACACTGAAACAGGTTGCTCAGAGAGGTAGTGGAGGCCCCATCCCTGGGAACATTCAAGGCCAGGTTGGATGGGGCTCTGAGCAACCTGATCTGGTTAGCGGTGTCCCTGCTCCTGCAGGGGAGTTGGACTAGATGACCTCTAGGGGTCCCTTCCAACCCAAAACATTCTATGATTCTATGAAAAGCTGTAAGCAAGCTGTACCTGGAATCATATACTTGGAAACATATGGCTAAGGTTACAGAACAACAGAAGAACAATGCCTTTAGAGAGGGTTCATGTCAAATAATAAGCTGTATTAGGCAAAAAATTAAACTATTAAAATGTGTGCATCACTTGAATAAACAAGTACCACAGAATAAATTTAGACTATCCACTCTGTGAATAACCTAAAGTGTGTTACACAAATACACAGCTTTTTTCAATTTCACTAGGAAAAGTATGGTATCTTATAATGAAAATAACTTATTTTAAAGCTTTTTTTCTTGATGTGACCACAATACACAGCCAAGTGTTATTCTGGCCTGATAGCTGTAACTGGGGGTTTTTTTCTGCCCTTTAAAAGCATCATTCTTTGGAATCAGTTTTACCCTCCAGCTTTGTCACTGAGTCTTGTGTTTTATGCTCCTGTTAAACAGCCATTTTAACCTAACAGCCACAAATGGGTTTGGAACTTGCGAGACTTTTATCTCCAGTGACCTGTAACTGATGGACAGCAGAAGCTCAAGAAACAGCTTTTTCAAAACAAAAATAGAAAAGCAAAACAAAAAATAATAATTGCTGAAAGAAATAGACTGTATAGGAAGATGTGCAAGGGAAGCAGAGTTCTGTACCCATATCTCCTCTCCCAAGTTTACATCTGCTGTCAATAATGCAGGTACATTCCCATTTCTTGGCTGGGACCACCAGCCTGCTTGCTGCAGTTCTGCATCTCTCCGTTTCACAGATGCATCTCTATAGCAAAATATGCAAAAATCTGTTCAGTGCTTCTCACTTCACATATCATCATCTTTAAAGATCAGATTCTCTGACCCTAGGCTTTCAGCAGTGGGGATAGTAAACCATGCTTATGTGGTAGGATCTTACCAGGGGCATTTTCCAGCTAATAGTTCTTCTCATGATCTACTTATCTCTGTTATTGGTTTTGCTTCCTGTTTGCTCCTCCTTCAACAGCCTTCTTTGATTTGACTGAAGCCTTACAGAAAAGCATGAAGCAGAGAACAGAAGGTGCAGAACGTTCTTGTAGAAAGAAATAATGCATATAAGTCCACCTCTATTCCCACTCATGAAGCCAAGAAAACAAAAATTAAACCAGCTAAACTCTTAAAAAATAGAACGTATAATGAAACATGTTACCTGTAAAGCATTTAGGTGTAATAATTAAATGTATTCCAAAATAACATTTTGTTATCAGTTTAGTTATAGCCAGCAAAAGCCCTGATAAAGGCACATTCATATTGATACAAATTTCCCTACTTTACAGAAATAAAGTACTTTAAAGCAATAGAGCTACATCTATAGTAGTGGGTTTATAAATTTGTATAATTGAAGCAATGCAATCTCTAACTGCAGACAGCTCCAGACAGGCAAGTCAAAATCTGTATGTTGTACTCTGTTAGTGGGCACTGCAAAACCATAGTGATGGGATGAGCCCAACAGCTACATTCCACTTGGACAGGTGCTATAAGACGTGAAAGTCTTGTCATCACTTTCAAGGATTCTGAGGTCTAAATGCATGTAAAAGTGCGCATTACAGATGCAGAATATAAATTTAAAGAAGTAAGAGCTAAGATATTATGTAAATAAAGAACTGGTATGGAACTCTCTCTTTTAAAAGAAAACAGAGTAGATGCATTACTAAGGAAGGTAAGCATGTAAGGAATACAAAGGAGCAAAGAGAAGTTGAACAAAAAGGCCACAGTGAAACAACATGAAGAAAGTGACACCAAAATTGGGGCATCCTTATGACACTTTCAGTTTGTTCTTCAGGCTATTATGAGCTCCAGTTGAACTTGGAATCAGATGAGAGAACGGACTCACAGAGCAGGAACTGGAAGTGATGGTCTTCCACTGTCCCTGTCAGAACTGTGTGGATTTGAAAAGATTGATGGAAGGGGGGAAAAGTTTTAATGAAGTTTGTTATCACATCACCATTTCCTATCAGAAGTCCTGGTCTTCCTTCCCACTAGGAATGGCGTGCTAAGCGCTTTGTGTTTTTATTGGAAACAAATCCACTGAGGAACACCCATTTTAGGATTACAGGATCTAAAATAGTCTTTAATCTCCCTTCATGACTGATGGAGCTTTCTACTTTGATTTTCTGTTGAATTGTTCTGCGAACTGGAAAGGTGAAAGTCTAGTGAGTTGATGTCGTACAGAGTTCATCAGTCTCACTGGCATATTGCTTTTCTACTCAAGGATTCCTTTCTGCTAGCCTGTACAGACACTGCATTATGTCTTAATGTTCAACTAATTATTCCCTTAAAAATGGTTTTAAAACTTTCACAGGCTTATTACACCGTTCTTAGCCGTGGCACTTTTATATGCACCGAGACTTTTATTTGGGCTCATAGACTCTGCTTCTGCAGAAAGCCCAAGCATACATCCTAGTTTAACTTGGATTCACCTGTCTCTAGACGTGGGAAGGAAATGCCATCAAAGGATCCAGAAGTCTACAGGAAGAAGTGTTTCTTCACATGTGTCCCCTGCCTGCATGGTTGGTAAAATATTCTCAACCAGTGTTGGAGAGCCACAGACATAATTGTGTTACTTCGTATAAAACCATATGTCAGGTCATATACCACAATTGACTTTGGCAGGATTTTGCTGCAATTCATGGATAAGACATATGGAGATTCATTACAAAGACCTCTGCAGGGGGGAACCTCATCACTGCACTGGAAGTAAATACAGATCCCTCTTAATTCCGACAGCTGAGCAGAGAGCAAGCTACAACAGTTAATTCTGAGAAGCTTACCATAACAAAGGTTTACAGAACTTGAAACATGCGACTCAAAATACTTCCAGTAAATTAAGTGAATTTTCACAAAGAACAAGATATCCTACAAATTAGGAGTAACAAAGTTTCATTAGATCTAAGAAAAAGGCTATAATAGAAAACACGTTTATCCAAAACTTTAAATGGCAGATAGACTTGCTGAGAGCTCAGAGTTCTAAAAATGTATCCCCACTCTCCTTTCTGCTTCAGGATGAGGGAGTACCAGAAACATAAGACTCTGTCCATACCATGGAAAAAAAGGATTGAATAGGACCATGTCTGTGCTCCGTGTCTGAGCACATCAGGACTCCATTTCTCCAGTAATCCTAACATCAGGAAAAAAATTGGAAACTAGTTGGTGATGGCGATGTTGGAAAATAAGGCTGCAAGGCCTAGTCTCAGAGTAGGGCAAGAATATGACGCACATGCTATCAGTGATAGTAGCACTGAGTTGAATCAGTCACCAGAAATGAGGGACCTAACACAGCCAGTGTAGAGCACAGTCCCCACAGCCTTTGAAGATTCAGACACTACTGGCAACAATTTTACAGGTCTATTTAGATAAGGCTCACGATAACTCACATTTTATTCTTCTCTCACATTGAGGGCAATGATCAGCAGAGCTCTGCCTGCAGATCTCTATCCCTTCCCTGTTGGGGAACTACTGACTGCTCTCAGGAGAATTGTTAAGGATGGTCATAGCGTTTGCTAGGCATGTGAGATATGATCAACAGATCTCTTACTGCCTTGAATGATATCTCCTGCAGCCAGCATGTTTATTGAAACCAGCATCAAACAAAGAGCCTGTGGTTGAGGGCTGCAGAGATACAGAGTATCTTGCACAAATGGGTTTAGTGAATGTGAAATTCATGAA